TTCATGGATTTTAGTGACCAAAGCGCTCCCCACAAGAGCATCCGATGAAAAATTGCAAATCTTCATATCTTCGAGATTATTGGTTTCCAGTTCAATATGTCGGATTCCTAGTCTCCAAGCATGCAACAAGAGATCATGAACACCCCACAGCTCAGCAGTAAGAATGGAACACCTTCCTATACTTTGCGTGAACCCAAAAACGCATTCTCCTTTAGAGTTGCACAGAATACCTCCCGTAGCTGCCATATTGTCATACGCTCTGACAGCCCCATCCGAGTTCCCCTTAATCCAACCGATGGGAGGTCGAGTCCAGGACAGGATGCTTATAGACATCGATGGACTAGGATTTGCGTTGCTAACATTAGCATTCATAACTTCGTCAACAAAGCTATCACAACGATAAATAAACTCCTCTCTTTCAATGTAATTAGGATCAAATAGGGTACTACATCTCCGTTTCCAAATGTGCCAACAGTAAACGGCGAAGCGAATATCCCAATTTACATTCATTTGCGCATACACTTCAACAACCCTTAAGTTGTGTTCAATCCAAATTTTGTAAGGAAGAGTCATAAACTCATTAAGCTTATCAGTTTTGATAACCCTTACCCACATATTCCTAGCCATACTGCAATGCCGCAGGATATGATCAGCATCCTTGATAACAGCCCCACACAGCTTACAATCCACTAGGCTAGTAAGGTGTCGACGAGATCGTTCAACATTAGTAAGAAGTCTATCATGGAATAATAACCAAAGAAAAACACGGATTCTTTGTGGGACTCCTAGCTTCCAAATCAAATTCCATAGAGAATGTTCACTACTATTGTCGAGGCATGTAATATCATTATAAGTTGACCTTGTAGTAAACTTCCTATTATGTTCTCATCTCCACCCGGGTGTATCAGGACCCAAGTAATCTTGAGGTGGTTGGACAACAACAATTCTTTGGAGAACATGTTCAGGGAGTAATGAAGAAAGCTTAACCCAATTCCACGTACCTGAAAAGAGAACCATGTCACAAACTGAGGTGGGTCTTGGTGTACCTTCTCCTTTATAAGAAAATACAAGACGATTTCCAGTATCAAGCCAATGATCATACCAAAAATCCGTATCTCTCCCATCCCGTATGTTCCAAGCTATATTATTATACAGGTCACTCCAAATGTATCTTAGTCCTTTCCACAATCGGGAGCCATTAGCATGACTTAATGAGATAGGAACAAGATTGTCCCATTTATACTTCTCACGAATAGTATGAACCCATAGTTTCTCCGGATTAGATATCAATTGAAAACCCACCTTCATCAAGAATGCCTTGTTTGGATTATGTATGTTCCGAATACCCACTCCTCCAAACTTTATTGGCTGCTGCATAGATTCCCATTTAACCAGGGGAAAACCAGAACCACCATTGTTCGAACCCCAAACAAATCTTCTAATAATCTTTTCCATTTCAACACACAATCCTTTCGGTAGCAAAGTTGATTGAATCACATAGACCGGGATAGCCTGAAGAGTAGCCTTAGCAAGTGTTATACGTCCTGCTAAAGTAAGACACTTCGTCGCCCAACTTGAAAGGCGTTGAGTCAATCTATCAATGAGATAAGAGTATGTGGCTTTAGTGACTCTATTATGGAGTAACGGAACCCCCAAATACTTGTCAAGATCCTTAACTTCCTCAAAACCGAACCTCTGAGAAATGGTCTGACGAGTGCTTAATGAACAATTACTAGAAAAGAAGATTTGAGTTTTAGCTGAGTTAATGCGATGTCCTGATTCATCACAAAACCTATCCAACACACCCTTGATCATCGATACTTGATCCATCGATGCTTTAGCAAACAACACTAAATCGTCTGCGATACAAGTGCATATATTGACTTCATCAATCCATTTCCATAGAGTAATATATATCTAGGAGAATGAGGCTCTTATCTAGTTCAAATTTGTTCTTATCACATATTGTTAACAGCCCAACCGATCGACCTATCGCCTCTACCACTTTGAAATCGAAATCACCATCATACCGTAATGCCCCAATTTCAGTTTCACTGAATGACACCTTTTTTGTTCTTGTAAAAACCATCTCGACCTTGTGCGTTCAAGTCAATTTTTTTAAAGACGTCATCTTTAAAATTGACCCCCAAACCTCTTATGTTCTAGGTTAATATTCTCATTACCATACAATTCGATCAGATGTACCTGTTAGGTGGCCTTACTTCTTTGATCTAATTCTTCTAGTCTTGCAATTTCTTTAACTGCCTCTTCCTCATCTCCTCTAATTTCAATTCCAAGACTCTTCCCCAATTGGATTGCCGTTTTTTGCTTCTTTAGTGAAAATCTCCCATCTGGCTTGCATGTCAGAATCTGATAAGAATCTACCTTCTAACTCCGATGAAATAGCAGGTTTTCCTTTCTTTTTTTCTTCAGTTTTTTAATAGCTCGGTCTCTTCTTCTTCTCCGCTTCAGATAGGGTTTTGTCCTGAAAAGCTTGTAGTGACCCGTATATTCTCCCCTTGATGATTTTGAAGTGTATAGAGTTTCATATATCTTTAATCTGACAACTTTGCCGTCGATGAGCTTTGTGCCTCTACTGTGGTGTTAATGTCCTCCAGCTCTTGACCCCAACATTATTCAAATTAGAATAGTAAATAAGACGAGACAGATCGCGAGTTATTCGAGTTCCATTTGGTCAAAACTCGATATATACTCGATTCGAGTTCTTAATATGCCGAAACTAAGTATTTGATACTCGACTAGAAACTCATGAGCAGTTCGAAAATATTATATATTGAATTTAAAAAAAATATTAATAATATTAATATTATGTGTTAATTTTTTAAAAATACATTATAAGTTTAAGATTTTTTTTTATTTCAAACCTTTTTAAAATTTTTACGATTTCAATTCATGATTTCAAGTTTAAATCAAATCAAATTTAACAATACTCAAGCTCGACTCGATTCGTTTACCGCCCTAATTCATATCTTCCACTCGTTTAGCCTAGTTCGGGCTTGGGTGTACAAATAATTCTATTTGGTCTTTCAACATATTATTGATTTCATTCCTCTTACAGCCCAAGCAGTTTATTTCTTCCAATACCTTCTTTCGATGTGCATGTGGATTTAAGATGGGTCTAATCAGCCCGCAATCTACTGGACACGTAACAACATTATTAATGCCTTTGAGGTAGTTGTCTTCTCCACTGGGTCATCTATTGAATAACATTTACCTTTCATTACCTCAATAATTTCGCCCGTCACTCCATCAGAATTGTGACTTTTCATATTACCTGCAAAGGATGACACCTCAGTACTACAACCCACCAAGTCCAATTCCCCAATAGACCTATTCTAAGAGTCGACATAATTATTGAATTCTTTTCCCGTGCCTATTACATTTATTGCTTCGTCTTTCACAATATTGTTGTCCTTCGTGTTATTCGACATCTTCACCTGGCCTGAGATCGGTGAAGTCTCCGATGAGCTCTCTTCTATCTCTATTTCAGAATCCCGATGATCTTATACCTGATCGTTTTGCTTTATATTATATAACCATTTTGCATCTTCTGATCTTTCTGAAGACGATGAGCTCTCCCCCACTATTCCCAATCTTCTTATAACTTGGGTCTGTAGAGTTATCTGAGAAGCCTCTTTCAGTTGCTCGTGCTTTGAAGATTAGATTTTCTACCTCAATTTCCACTGTTTCATCAATCCTACTATCATGGTTGGTGTTAATTAGCAAGGAAAATTTTATCGTCATTTATGGTCTGGTTCGCATTTTCACCAAGAGATTCCAGTGATCCCCATAATTGAGTCAGTCTTTTGATTGTAACAGTGTTCCATCATTGTAGTGGAATCCTCGAAACTTCTATCCAGGTCTCTCTTTCCACTTGGTTCAAGTCCTCCAGCCACAATCTCACATCCACAAATATTTCTTTTAGGTACGATCAGTTTAGATCTTCCAGCATAATAAACAAGTTCTCATCTTCAATTGAAATTAAGAAAGTTTTTCCTCCTATTCTTAGAATTTTTCTTCTCGAGCTCCCAATCTTGTAGCCTTTTTCGGATACTTTTCGCACTACATATTATTGCAGTTTGGCCTATCAGACATCTTTTAAGTTTCATTAGATCTACAGATTCAACATGCCCTGCTATTCTTCTAATACCTTCCACTACGAGACTCCATTTGTACTTGTTTTTGGTCCGGAATTCCTTTTATCCATCTTATCGGTATTTTTTTCGATTGGTTTGGTATCCGACTGAGTTATCTGCTACAAACTCCTTGCCCTTCTTTCTTCAACTGTCCTTTTGCCATCCACTCTTCCATTAATAACGTTTGGAATCATTTAGTTGTTTCTTTCCGATTCCATTTGCACCTTTTTCCTTTTCCAGTACTGGTCCCTACTATATTTTTACATTGACACCATTAATCTGTTCCCCCGTAACAAGCTTCCGTTCATATTGTTTATCGCCTTTTGTGCGTTCTGCCTATGCCAGAATCTCACAAACCCAAACTTAGCAGCGTTTCTGCTTCTTTTTGCTGGGATAAAGCTTTCAATTACTTCACCAAATTTCCCAAATAATGACTACAGTCCCAAAATAATCTTTCTGGAATGTTGCTAAATAAGACGGTTGACGCCCGGGATCTTCTCTCTAATCTTCTCTCCATTAATGATTAAGATCTTTTTGCCTGTTGTTTAAGATTGAGAATTAATGCATACAATTATACATACTCACCTTGAAAAATATTTTTGAATCCGCTATAGCCTCCCAGTGAAGTTTCAATGTACAATTCTTTCCCATAACCAATTCCAAGGAAGTACTAAATCACCATGTTTTGAACAAATAAGAACAGATTCCTCATGATTTGTACCCAGTACGTTAAAATCTCAGTTATCTTTAGTGCTTGTTCTTTCCCAGTTAAGCTCAAACTTCAGAGCGAAAATGCGTAACAGTTAACTGTATATGACATTCATACCATGAGATGAGTTGCAGGCAATTGATGGGGGGAGAACTGTCTGGTTTAAGCGTCAAAGATCTACAGAGCCTAGAAAACCAGTTGGAAACGAGTTTGAAAAATGTTCGCATGAGAAAGGTAAGAGCTTTAAAACCAGGATGAAATTAGTGTTTACAACACTCGACACCCAATTATACATAATTTTCTTCTGCAGGACCAAATTCTAACAAATGAAGTCCAAGAGCTAAACCGCAAGGTTACAAAAGTTTTGCTTTTGCTGCATTTTCTTCTCCAGACTTGTCTTGTTGAGTGACTTTCACATATGGGTGCAGGAACGCCTCATTCATCAGGAAAATCAAGAACTACATAGGAAGGCAGACCTTATTTGTCAAGAAAATATTGAACGTCAAAGGAAGGTACACACCACAAATTAGCCATTTTTATCCTCCTCGCAACACTAAGCAGCCTACAAATTTTGGGTCACAGGAAGCAAATGAAGGCTTCAAGACTTCCGGCCCCAGTTATGGTTTCAACAATGGATATGATTTGCATGCACCTGTCAATCTCCAGTTGAGCCAGTCCCAACCTCCTGATGCTGGTACTACCTCCTGTAGAAACCTACTGTTTTAGAAACAAGGGTAAACTACACGTTTAGTATCTCAATCATCACTTTTGTTCCATTTTGGTCACCCAAGTTTCAAAACCATACCGTTACGTTTTAGTTTCATTCTAGTCACCCGCCATTAAAAAATTAACAGAACTGCTGACTTGAATTTTTTTAAAAATTCAATGATGATGTGGCATTACCTTATGATGACATGCTAGTATCACCATTAATTTTTTAACAGTAGCTGACCAAAATGAAACTAAAACGTAACGTTAAGTATGATTTAGAAACAAAAAAATAGTTGGGTGATCAAACATAACAAAAATGATAGTTGGTGCATTAAACGTATAGTTACCCTAGAAACTAAAGCTTCAATGAACTGAGCTTTCATGTTCCAGCTACTAGATAACGTGTGTTCAACTTATAAATTGCAGTAAAAACAAATAGAGAAACAAGTTATAAGATGTAAATTCACGCAACAAACAGGATGACTGCTTTATATGAAGAAGGAAAAGAGTGTCGACGTAATCTTTTTATGGTAAAGAAGTGCTGATGTAATTTTAAGGAGTGATCCTAAGCACAAAAAACAATAAATCAAAATATACTTAGTAAATGATAAATTGGGTTGCTTTATCATATTAAAATTTGAAATTTGATTCATGCTTCTAACTGTCATAATTTGATTTTTTTGTTTTTACGGTGGGATTAGTTAGTTTAAATTGCTAAAGGAATTTAGTGAAAAGTAAAAATAATAATTTTTATTGAAATAAATTATTATTTCACGTACTCAGAGTGTGCAAAAAATAAATAAGCCGATTTGTTTGAACTATCTGCCATAGACCTTTCCAAAGAGAAAAACATACAACTTCTGTTTCTAGTATAATTAGGCGGTGGCGGTGGCGGCGGCACCAGCCCTCAAGGCTGGTTGCTGGCCGCCGATTCTTTTCTTTCTTTTGTTGTTTTTACTTTTTAATAAGTATGCTTTTAAGCAGCAAGGTCGGTGTTCATCGCCGTTGTTACCCTTCATCGTCTTTTAGCTTGATTTGATTGTTCTTGGGTGTTGCTATTAGATGTTGTTCACTGCCCGCTCCTGTGTTTGTGTATTGCATTGTGTGTTCCTTGTTGGCACTCCGGCCGATGGTGGAGCGGCAAATTCAGCGTTTTCGGTGATGAGATGTGTCCTTGGTTGCAGGAGGGTTCTGCTGCAGTTGCTGGTTTTATGTTCCGGTTGTGGAAATGAGGTGCTGTCGCTAATAGTCTTTTGTCGCACCCATAGTGTCGATTGATGGGCTATTTAGTCCTGGTATGAGATTACTGGTAGTTTCTGTGTTTTGGGAGTTGTTTACTTTGGAAGTTCAGCAATGTTGTAAGGCTAGTGCTTTCATTGTCGGATCCTTGGTCGATGGCGGAGCGTGGCTTGCAGTCGTCGATGTAATGGCGGAGGCTTCTGGTTTCATATAGGCATGTGCAGAAGATTCTGGTCCCGTGAAAGGTGGTATGGGGGATGCGTAGTTAAAGGCGTTGAGTCAAAGGAATCTTTTCGTTAGTGGAATGTTGGCAGCAAGTTTTGGTGCTTGCAGACATCATCATGTTTCGGTAGAGAAAGAAGGCGTGGGTCTCGAGGGAGGTTTGGATGGGCAGGAGCAGAATGTGTCGAGTAGTTAGAGGTGTGATAATATTTATGGTTTCTTGGAAGGTGGTGCGGCACATGAAGGAGTTAAAGTGGATGTTTCGGGTGTCTATGAAGAAGGGATGCTCGATGTTCCCATCTTTTCGAGTTTTGGGTTAGTGGAGTAGCACGTTATTGATGAGAGTTTGGGCTAATGCCAATGTCTAGGGAACAAAATTTTAGATGGGCGTCCAATTCTATATCCAAGTGCTCAAGGTTTCTAGAGGTTCCTATTGTCGAGGTCTCAAAATTCAAGTTCGAGGGGGGCGAATCGTTTCAACCTTTAAATTTCTAAGAGGTTAAAAGGAAGTAGCACGGTTTCAAGGGTAGAGAAGCAAGTTTTAGTGTTAGTAGCAGTGGTAAACATAATTGATTTAGAGGTGGGAAGCACGTTGGTGGCAAGGAGGGCGTTTACCACTGTAACGGCGAAGGCACTTGTTGTTGCAGATGCTTTGTGGTGCTTTATAATGCTGCTTGATCCAGCTTAGGGTGGTCCATTTCAGGTAGTGTTTCTGAATTGAGAATAGAGAAAAAGCTGGATCTTCTTGTTTGGTTACTTGGTGCTCGTTTGGTTCGGTGCTTTCTTATTGGTGCTGGCACTTTCTTGTTGGTGCTGGCACTTTCAGTAGTGGGTGAAGGACTTTTCATTATACTTTTGATTTTGGATCTTCCTTTTCTGATTCAGTTCGCTTAATTTCGGTCGTGTTTTTCGGCCCCATGCTGGGGCTACGCATAGTGGTGTAGTGGCGTTGTATCCAGGTTTTAGTATTATGCTCAGTTCTCTGATTTCAATAATCTCAAGCTGTCTCGACTCTTGCCTGGTGTTATCTGCTAACGGTTCATTATCTCATGTTTTTTGTATTAATATGTCAGGGTTATGTCTTACCTTCTCTCCAGAGTTAAAAGTTGTGGCGTTTTGTATAGTAACCAATGATAGGCATATGCTCAACTGTCTTATGTCTCGGAGATTGTAGCATGGTTTTGTTCTTTGTTTTGGATGTGTGTAGTTCCTTTTTGAATTTCATTCAGGGGGTAGTGTGTAGCTACATCGATGTAGTCTGTTTCGGGTTGTTCTAGTGGTGTAGTTCCCATCTGTTGTTCTTGTTGTTCTAGGGTTTATGTTGGACCTTCTTCCATCTCAAGGTTCACTCTTTTTCCTCTACTTAGGATTAGGGATGTTTTTTAATGAGGTCCTTGGGGTGGTGTACTTTATGAATTCTAATACAAAGTAACCATTTTTCAAAAAATATTTTATGGTTCCTCCAATGTTGTGTTGCTAAACATTTTTTCATTTGATGAATCTTTTTTTGTTAAGCTACACAAATGATGACAGCGGTATTGACGTTGATGAGATCTCCAACAACGATTTAAAGATAAATCATTTTTTAAACGTAATTTTTTCTAAGCGCTCATTTTTCTAGGAAAAATAGCAGTAGAGTTGAGAGATTTGTCATACTCTAACGTGAGATATTTTGACCAAAAAGAAAATGGTTAAAATGAAAATACTTGAGAAAATGAAATATAAAATGATCACTTATACAAATGTTTGATAATAAATTTATGATTATGTGAGCATTATAAATATATTTGACAATCAAACTTGATCCATTATCTCAGGAATCCACCACTTCAAGAATTGGGCCTTAAGATCTATAATCCAAACTTCCATCACCCGCCGTCGTATTACCCACCAAGTGAAGGTTACTTCACTCAATAGAACTTGGCTCGCTGGATTGGCGCAGGCTATTTTCACGCCAAACTTCGAATCCACGGCGGCCTCGAAAATTTCGATCAGACGCCGCGTTGGAAGTGATAGCGAAAGCGGCCGAAGAGAAAGTCCGAACCGTGGCGCTTTACAACTATCCCTCATTTTCCGGCGCAATCTCCGCTCTCTTCGCTCACCTCTACCACTCCCGCCTTAATCTCTCTTACCTCATCTTGCCTTTCTCCTCCGTTGAACCTCTCAGGTTCTTTAACCTTAACATTTCAAATTCCAAGTCTCAAATTATCCAAACATCAGTTTACTTATAATTTCTTCGAATTTCACTGGGTCGAAGATTTTTGTGTTGAAGGACATGGACTAGACGCGTGTTATCTTCTTGACTTCGTCGGTCCAAAAGGATTCGCGACAAAGCTTTCACTGCAATCAATGTGCGAGTACGTAGAGTAACCAATTTTGGTTTTACTTCTGCTTCCTCTTCTTTTAACTTTGATAATCATTTTGCTTTACAAACTAGATGAAACTCTGATTATTTACGTACAGTATTATAGCCTTTGATCATCTAACTGACTCTGATTATTTACGTAGAGTGATAGCCTTTGATCATCTAACTTCGACACTTTCACAAATCAACTCTTCTGGAGATCTGAGAGGTACATTCAATATTAATCTTGAGAAGAGTAGCTCTATTGCTGTGTATGAGTATTTTTCTAATAAGCTTGCGACTATGATGTCTCTTGATGTAAGTACATATATGCATTATTCTGTTTCCATGCTGTGTTTTACTAGAGTGATTTGATTCTGTGCATGCATGTTTTTGTGTGTGTATGTATGTATAACCTAAAGACTAAATGGTTAATTGTTTTTCTTAATTTGAATAAGGTGGGGGCTGCCAATTTGTTGAACTCAGAAGACCGATGTCGTGTTGAAAATGTTCTGAAGTATATTGAAGATGCAGATCTTCGTAGATGGAGCTTACCGGAAATTAAAGCTTTTATGATCGAAATTGGTGAATTGCGATCCAAGTTGAATTGCATCACGAATCCGTACATGTATGAGCAGGTTCATTGCTCAGAAATTGATCCTTTTCTTTCTATTTTTATTTGTTGGACTATGGTTATTTAGATGAATTCAAACCTTGAACTTATCGGATTATGCTTTTACAGAAGGGAATTGGAGTTAATTTTTTTCTTCATAATTTGCCTAATTATCTACCCTGTGGCTAATATTTCCTTAGTTGCTAACACTTGGATATAACTTGCATCTCAAAGGTGTTTTTATGATTACATTTTGCATGACCTTCACAGTTTTTCTAATGCTGAAGCCTTGTGTTTGCAGTTACTTGGGGTCAGTTCAACTGATTTGATTGCTAAGGGAAATCTCCATATTTCCTCTCGCCAAACAGCTGCAAACAAGTTTTTGGATAAGACATTTAAAGTTCGATCGGGCCGAGGATTGTATGGGGAGTGCCTGGTAATGTCATAACTCATAACAAATGTTTCATGTAATAA